AACAAACCTAAGTAGGATAAAGGAAATATGAAAAGAGGTACTTTAGATGCCTAGCTTAGACAGTCAAAAAAAAAACATAGGTAACAACAACTTATACAAACAAACAACATTAATGTCTCATCATCTTATCAAAACCAAATTTGTTTGCTATGTTAGAAGGGAAGTTTTACTCTTCTGAAATGAAGTAAGGTACCTAATTAAACTACATGTCAAAGGATTTGGTCGTAAATCAATATGATACAGAATTTCATTTATAATTTTCTCTCTTATATTCACATTTTTCATATAAGTTTTAATAAGCTTTATTCAGTTCACAGAACACACTTTTGTAATTTTTCTGGTATATAAATTTTCCAGTCAAAGCTTTTGACAGGAATGACCAATGAAACTGCAATAAATATTTTTTATTAGTTTCTTGTCTTTTCTGAGCTAGTGATACATTTATTAAAAACAATCAAATATTAACATACAAATTTCCCAAATTCTGAGTTCCATAAATCAATGGTAAGTATATTGTATTTACTTCTTCGGTATGATTATTAAAAAAAAAAAAAAGTTAAAAGAGTAGGAATGAAGCTCATTCCTTCCCAAACTAGATTTTTCCTTGTATAGGATGTTAAATTAAGATTATTTATCTGAATTATACAAAAAGATGTAATTAAGGTCAGACTGGGTATTTACATCATAGCCTTCGATATATTTTGTGGTTGTCTATTGTGTTGAAGTGGTAGGTAACTTAAGAGAATTACAGTTACTCTTATTAATGATCAAATTTGTTTTTGTGACATCATGCATGCATATCTGTATTTATGCTGAACCTCCCAACATACAGTAGCATAGTCAGGAGGGGAGAAGAGGGAGTGTTCACTATCCCTGAGCCCATCCTCCTAATAATTGTATATTAGCATTTTTGTATTATTCATTTAACTATATATCATTTCTTCAATTCTTCTTCTTCAGATAAGAGATGGAGAAAAGCAAACCCAGGAAGAAAGTACCCGGGTGGGACAGAAAGAAGTTGCTAATTGAGAAGAAGAATCGTCAAAATATCAGAGATTGGACGCCTACTTTTCAGTCAGTATGCCACGATGTCTGCTGCACCAGAGGTGGAACCCTCTGAAGACTTGCTACATATATATCTTCAGGAGCTGTTGATGGCACCCTGGCCAATGCGGCTGCACCGGTGGTGGAAGTGGAACCCTCCGAAGACTTGGTAACTTCAGTAGACTCTGATCAGCCAGAGGCCCAAGATGACACAGTAAGACTTTGTGCAGTCATTGACAGACAGACTGAATATCTAACAGATCCACACCTATTTTATGACAAACCTGTAACACCTAATCTAGTACATGCTCTACTTGAGTTAGGCCCTTATCAGCCAGGTCTTAAATATAATTTTCATAATTTTCCAAAAGATGAAGGTGGACGTCATTTCAGTCCCACTTGGTACAAACAAAAACAAGTGAAAAGTGGTCATGAAATCGATTGGCACCTGCTATTTACTCACTTAGAGTGAACACAATGCTTTGTTTTGCTTGCTGGCTTTTTGCAAATTGGTTGGATGCACATTTCTCAAAGGATTGGAGTGATCCAAGAACTAGTTGCAAGATTTTTGTTAAAGGTCTGCACCAAATTGAAAAACATGAAAAAAGTGAAAGTTACAAAAAAGCAGAGAAAGAACTTTTCCTTTCCAAACTCCGTTTTTTTCAACGATAGAACTGTCATGTCTGGTCTTGTAAAGGAGGAAAGGAAAGAGATGGAAATAAATAGGATGATTCTAAAATGTATTATAGATGCAGTTCTCTCTTTGGGAAAACGGGGTTTGATGTTCCGCAGTCATCACGAGTATCGAGGTTTAGGTTCCCGAAATACAAATGAAGGGAATTTTTTAGAACTTATTAAGCTGTTGGCTAAAAATGATACATTACTGGAGCAACATTTATTATTGAGTGATCGAAATGCAACATATCTATGCTCTGTAGTACAAAATGATCTGATACAGTCCTTATCAACCCAGCTTCCATCAAAGTGTACTTTGCAGTCATTGTTGACTCAACTATTGATATAAGCAGAATTGATCAATTTTCTTGATCTTTGCAATATGTAACAGTAAATGGTGGTGCAGTGGAATGACATATATAATTCAGTGAATTACCTAGAGGAAGTGCTGAAGATGTTTTCAACGTTCTTCTTTCAGCAATTGAAAAGTTGGGGCTGTCAATATCTATGTGTTATGGTCAGTCTTATGATGGAGCAAGCATCATGTCAGGTGAAATATCAGGTCTCCAAAAAAGGATTAGGGAATTTGCTCCAAATGCACTTTTTTATGCACTTCTGTGCACATAATTTAAATTTAATTCTAATTGATGCAGTAAGCTCCAATATTCACACTCAGTTGTTTTTTGGAACTCTACAAGGTCTCTCTCTACACCTTTTTTTTTACTGGCAGTTTACCCCATCTTTTAATACTAAAAAAGGAACAACATAATCATATCAAATCTTTCGCACTGACCCTAAAGAAATTTTGTGCTACCAAACAGGTGTCCAGAAAGTCAGCAGTAGAGGCAGTCTTGCAGAATTTACCTGTGCTAGTAGTTGCCTTGCAAAGAATTGTGGATGGTGAGATAAAAAACTGTACTCCTAACCAGCTTGCTGAGGCAAAGGGTATTTTGGTAATACTCAATACTTACAAATTCTTAGTTCTTATTTTCTGGAGTAAAGTGCTAGAGAAGGCTTTTAATTTATCCACATATTTACAGAAAAGTAGTCTAGATCTGAAAGCGGCTTCTCATTTGATTCAGCTTTTTGAAAATGAAATGAAAAACATGATAAATGACTGGATTCAAACAGATTGAGACTGAAGCAACTGAGTTGGTTCGAAAATGTGATATTTCTATGGAATACAAGCAGCAGAGAGTACATAAAAGAAAAAGATTTGATGAGGAAATTGCAGAGGATGAAGGAATATTTGATGGCTGGAATAAATTCATAGTTGAATCCTACTTAGTGTCCCTAGATTCTGTTACAAATAGCACAAGTAAAAGATTCAAGCATTTTACAAATGTGGCTTTCAAATTTAGTGGTTTAGATCCAAAGCATTTTGGCAACATGGATAATGTGAACAAATTACAATTTTTGGCAGACATGTACTCAGATGTCATCGACAGTCAAACTGAAATCTTGCAAGAGTTTCTTCCATTCAAAGACATGTACAAAAAGATAACGAGCTGTAAGGCAAATTCAAGTGTCGAGGATCTGACCATCAACAGTGTACTAAAATTCATGATCGCTAATCACGTGTTCCATTTATCCTAACCTGTCGCTATTGTATCACATTTTTCTGACCTTGCCGATAAGTAGCACAGTTGCAGAACGATTCTTTAACCGACTCAAACTCATAAATTCCTACCTGCGTTCTACAATGTGTGAGGACAAATTTTTCGGATTAGCTTTGCTTTCCATTGAAAGACAGTTGGCTACTTAACTTTCTGAAGTGGATTATAATAAAGTAATAGATTACTATACCAGAATGAAGGCTGGTGTAGTTGCTTCATACATTATACATATAGTTTTTTATTGTTTTGATTTTAATTTTTTAAATACAAAATAACATCATAAGTACTTATTGTAAAACTGTATTTTTCTTGACTGACTGGGTGGTGGGATAAGCATGTAAATTGAATTTAAAATTATTTTATTTGGTATGTGGGGTGGTGCCTTTTTTTTTAGTGCTTGCTCCTTCAGACTTAAAACCTGGCTTACGCCACTGCCAACATATCTAAGTTTATAATCTTGCATGATTCTCATCCTTTTGAAATAAACTACTTCACACAATCTGATAAGAAGTTTTTCAAATGGTCTAAGGGTGAAAAATACAAGTGTTGCATGGCATAGTTTCATGCTTAATTAGGTGATTCTAATTAACATCATGCAAGTACACCCTTTTTTTAAAATTAACTCTAAGAACAAGTTTTCTTCTGACTTTATGCTTGTGTAAATTTTTTTCAAGATAAAGAAAATACAAAACAATATTATCAGTTCCTACTGTGAAATCTCGTGGAAATTTAAAACAATCAAATACAAGAGTTACACTTCATTTAATAAACATTCAAAAATGTGTTGCAAGCTGCATTAACAAAGCTTTCTATATTTATATACATTTTTGAATAATTTCCAGTGAGTCAATTTTCATATGTATTGTAATTTGTAATTTTGAAAAATCTTTATATACTTAGTGGATTTTATTCTTTATTTTTATTTGTTTAAAATTCTGAACTGATACACACTACAAGAATATAAGTTCCAAATTATTTTACAACATAAGGTGAACATGCTAAATTTATCCCATTTTGATTTGAAATAGTAGGTAATACTTCCTATGCATAAAATGTTCAAAATGTATGTGAAAAAAGTATTTACATTTTAGCCACTATGGCTATTAGAATTCCATTAGATCTGCAGAACTTTATTACAGTATATCTGGGATATCATGAATCTGCCAAGAGTTTCAACACACTTAGGAATAAATGTTAATAAATTTCTTAATTTCCCAAATGTTAACCCCACTGTTAACTTCCACAATGATCTCATTCCCATTTAAATAAGTAAGTTCTTGTAAAACTGGATATTCAATTTATAAGAAAAGATGTGTTCCAGTAACAAAAACCTACTTCTTATTAGAGGTAGGTTTATATTATTTTATAACATTTCAAAATAAAGCTGGCACTACTATACTGCCTGATAATTATACAATACTGCCTTTAAAGTAGGACAAATAACATAAATGAAATTAAGTGAAGAAAACTAAAAATTTCAACAACTGTATTTTAAATCGCATTTTTTAATAAACAGGTTATTTCTATAAAATCCTTTAAGCTGATAAATGAAACAATGCTTTGCAACTGAGAAGATGAAAAATTAAAAGAAAAGATTACAGAAATACATAAGCTTAAATAGGTTTAATTATAATAACTTACGGGTGAAAGGAAAGAAAAATGTAATAATAAGTCAACCATACTATATGTGCTTTATTAAGTGCAGAATGGGGCCTTTCATCCAATACAAGAGCTCATCATGCTGGCTGGGATATGACAGACACAGTAGTGACTGAGATGCTATTTATATCATCCATTTCTTGAACAACAGCTATTGTATACTGAGTGTTTTTCTGCCATAACTAACTCATTCATTCTTATCTTAGAAAATCACATGACTGTCGAAATCTTACATTTTAATATTCAAAATACAAACAGATTAATAATTCCTACACAATCTTCTTACATTTAACATTTTAATTATACAACATAGCTGATTTCTACAAAACAGAATAATCTCAACATGCAGCCTGAAACATTATTAAAGAAAAGAGGGGGAGGGTTAAAAGAAATACAGTCCACATTTTCAAAATGTCTAAATTAAATGATATGAATAATTTTAGCTATATTTATAATCACAAGTTATCTCCCAAACACATCTGTTTAACATTGTAATCACAAGTTATCTCCCAAACACACCTGTTTAACATTGTAATCACAAGTTATCTACCAAATACATCTGTTTAACATTGTAATAACAAGTTATCTCCTGAACACATCTGTTAAACATTGTAATCACAAGTTATCTCCTAACTACATCTGTTTAACATTGTAATCACAAGTTATCTCCCAAACACATCTGTTTAACATTGTAATCACAAGTTATCTCCCAAACACATCTGTTTAACATTGTAATCACAAGTTATCTCCCAAATACACCTGTTTAACATTGTAATCATAAGTTATCACCCAAACACATCTGTTTAACATTGTAATCACAAGTTATCTCCCAAACACATCTGTTTAACATTGTAATCACAAGTTATCTCCCAAAAACATTTGTTTAAAAATAAACAATTTTTAGCCTCACTAAAACTTTCACTGGATAACACCAAGTTGAACTTGATGTATTCAAGTACATAGTTTTTGAAGCCAAGTAGTATTTGCAAGTTCTTCTGCAGGTTTAAATGTTTTTGTAATAATCACAAACATAATTATGTAACAAATAATTAAAAACTCAGTTCAGTTACATGTAATGTTTAATCTACATACACTGGTAAAAAAACGTTTTACTTATTTTTCAAAGAAAAATCTCCCTGAGTACATTTTTATATGCAGGGTTTTATCCAAAGTAGTTCTACTGCTGAAATAAGAATATTCGTCAATTTAGTTGTGCCTTTCACCATAACAATTAAAACACTGTTGTAATCTTTCCATTACAAAACAATAAAATATACATTTTGTGCTAAGATTAATATCCAATTGAAATTATGACTACATTTGAAAATGATAAAGCAAACAGCACCATTAAGTTGTAGTTATATAAACAAATACAACAGACATCCGATTTTGTACCTCTGTGGCTGAGTAGGATTATCACTCTTATGGTCTCCTGCCAGAATTATGAACATTATAAAAAAATCATATTGGAAATATTATCCTACAAAAACTTCTAAGTCAGATGAGAATGACTCTTCTATATTCACAAAAAATGTTTTTCAAAAAATAAAGTAACCAATAAAATAAATGCTTTGTAAATCAAAGTTGTATATTCCAATTTGGGTTATCTCGAGTTAATATGCAAATTTAGGCAATAATTTTCAGTTTATGGGAAAAACAGTTCATTAACTGTTACAAGAATATTTTCAAAATCCCTGGATAAAACCCTGTGAGGACTCAATTGACCATAATAAACTATATCTGAATGTTTCCAGTCAAAAGAGTGTAGATTATACGATCAGTACATGTACATGAGCTTAAAAACAAACTGTATTCTAGGGGAACAAAGATGGTTTATATTCTAACCCAACATAAGAAACTGAAACCTACATACTATACAAATCAGTTAGTTCAGGTACTAAATGTGTATTGTAAGATTTCTGAAGAGTAAATTACTATTTAGTCTTTAATTATTAAAGTAATGGGGGCTTAATAAAATGTGCAAATTCTCAGACCTAACATTATCTGATCTTAATAAGTTTCAAGTGATGTACTCAATATTTTCAGAAAATGCAAATTTGAATTTGTGCTAATAAAAACGACCAACCTTATGGAATTCAACGTTTCATTATACAGACATTATTAAAGTAATGGGGGCTTAATAAAATGTGCAAATTCTCAGACCTAACATTATCTGATCTTAATAAGTTTCAAGTGATGTACTCAATATTTTCAGAAAATGGAAATATGAATTTGTGCTAATAAAAACGACCAACCTTATGTAATTCAACGTTTCATTATACAGACATTATTAAAGTAATGGGGGCTTAATAAAATGTGCAAATTCTCAGACCTAACATTATCTGATCTTAATAAGTTTCAATGATGTACTCAATATTTTCAGAAAAAGCAAATATGAATTTGTGCTAATAAAAACGACCAACTTTATGTAATTCAACGTTTCATTATACAGACAAAGATTAACCTCTTTTAACACCAATCTCAATAAATTTTGACAATATTGTTTCATTTTAAGAGTATCCCAAATTGAATACTGCTTCATCAATAATCAATCAACTTCCCCTCTGTTTTGCCACTGCAGCAAAACTCTGCCATAAAAATGCAAAAGAGAAAATTTTAATTTTTGAGTTTGCAAAACATTAAACAAGTCAATCCTTAAAAACAAAAAGGAAAAATATTATCTTCTTTCTTTTTGACATTTTATGATCCAGATTTGTGAAAGAAGTACAAGCTGCTGATGTACATTAGTATATTCAGATAAAATATTTACACAAAATACTAATATGACAACTCTTGGCAATCATCCACTGATCAACACAAATACTGTACATACCGATGTCATTTATAAAATCCTGAAAAAGACAAAAAAAAAAGAAATTATTCTGTGTCAATTAGCAATAATATCCTATACAAGCCACATACTGTGTTTATGTATTGCTTTTTAAGATGTATTCTGTGAAAGTCATTATATAATTTTTACTTAGTAGTAAAATTTTCTGAAATAAACTGATATACAGCCTTTTGCCTATTTCCGTGTAGGGCTTAATTTGAATCCCATTTAAAAGAATTTTGGTTAATTTAATCTCATTAAGACACTGTTGGAAGTTTGATACTTGTATGAAATAAATGTAGCTATTAGACTAATTGAAACTAAACATTTTAAAGTGAGGTGTAGTCCCTCTAGAACCTATTCTGCCCTAACATATTCTACAGAATAAGCATAAGATACAAGAGATCAATATAAATCTGATTGTATTTAGTTTGTAATTTTGATATTGACAATTTTTCTTTCAATAATATCTCTAACAGTAGTGTAGTTTTCCTATCCTTGACTGTTAAAAGCAAATATATTCTGTTGAGATTCACTATACTTTTATGCACATAACTGATTCAGTTATTTAATGGTGAAGCCCATGTAATATTCAGCTCTCCTTTATGTGGTCCCTTCTGCCAATTGCCTGAGAAATTCTACATGTTTACAAAGCTGATCAAACCATTTCACAACAGTAACAGTTGCTGTGATTAACTGACATTTTTGATCTAGGAAAGCTCTGCTTGATAATTTTTTTTCATACTGTACACAGAAAGATATTAGCATATAATTATACATCCCATACATATATTATGTATTTATTATTAAGTGAGCATATACCACAATATACTTATGGAAGTTGTATCATAATCAATTCATGTAATCAAAATTGTAAGTTTTTCTTCTTTTAAGACTATAAGTTACTCAACTTTTGAAAGTGGTTATATCTAGAAGAAACAAATTTTATTGAAAGTTCCAAAAGAGGAGAAAAAAAGAGCTCATAGCTGTAAATAACTTGACACTTACCTATTTTTATAAATACAATAACCAATGTTTAGTTACATTTGCCCATTATCATCTTTTCATTGTTTCCTCATCAGTTTCAGCTTTTGCTATAAGAAAAGAATACTGATATTAATGCACTGTTTCTCATTATTATAAGAACACAAAAGGCTACAACTGACTATACATAAAAAGAAGGAGTTATGAATCTAGTTAAAAACCTATCTGCTGTATTTGATATTACTATATTCCAGTTTATTTTACTTAGGAAGGTAAAAGAAGAAGTTTATTTGTATCAAATGTTACAACTTAACAATTTTTAAAAGTCTATACTAACTATATAGGTTTTATTCACATTTAATCCTTACTGATATCTGAAGGTTCTATAAGATGTTGTTCCATTCAGTACGTGTAGCAAAAAGCTTGTCTCTTTGTGTATCTCATTTTCTCAGACAACTTTGCTTGTAACCTAATTTATTTACACTTTTCTTTAAAAATACCAGATTCTGTGGTTAACACAAGCTAAAAAAATGTGGATGTAAATCAATAACTGACAAGTGTTTGATTGACTGATTATTTATCAATTTCATGCAAAGCTGATGATGGCTATCTCTGCTAGCCGCCCTTAATTTAGCAGTGACAGACTAGAGGGAAGGCAGCTAGTCAACAACATCTACTGCCAACTTTCGGACTACTCTTTTACCAATAAATAGTGGGGTTATTCATTACATTATAACACCCCCATGTCTGAAAGGGCAAGCCTGTTTTGTGACTGGGATTGAAACCTCATCACTAAACAGGCTGATAGTCGAGTGCCATAGCTATCAGGCAATAACTGACAAGTGAGCCATGACAGAACAGTCATGTTTTAAAATTACCTGATGCAAAATGAGTTAGATTAAATTTAGATCCCTGAAAAACAAACAATTTTTCTCATTACTCAAAAATATAATTACCATAAATACAAGTATGATAAATTCAAAGCAAATATACTCATATTATAGATGCAAACAGAAAAAATAAGTTTTTTTTTGTACTTGGAAGGAAGCAGAAAATATCAAAAAGCTCCAAGAAAAAATATTATTGTCTGTATGCAAACAGATTTATACTCTTCATTGTTTTACAGAAGGATACAAAGGATGTTTGAAGATAAGCATTTCAGTGGAGTTTTACCAATCTACTATCTTAATATGAAAGGCTATTTTAGCAAATGTTTCCACACACACTGAAGGAAAAGAACGATGGTAAAAAAATAAAGAGTTAATACTATTTTTACATACACCGATGTCAACAGTATGGCAAAAAAATAAGAATATAAAGCACTTGCACCATTTTAATATAAGCTGGAATGATAAACACATGAAAGTACAAACATTCAAACAATTTGCTCATTGATCGTTTGGTTTGTTTGTAGTTAAGCACAAAGGTACATAACATGTTATCTGTACTGTGTCCACCATGGGTATCGAAAACCAATTTCTAGACAAAGAATACAGTTAGGTCTCTAAAAAATGACTCAAAACCCCCCATAAATATTATATACACATCAACACTATAAGAGGCCTAACTGTATTTCTTTGGTTTGCTGACCCAAGCTGCACTGATAAGCCTTGAATAGACAAAACTGTAGTCCACCACATAGGGTACAGCCAAGCAAAAAATGCATTAGGCCTCTACATCACAGATTCTGTTTATTGTTCTAGCACTACACAAGTTTCATTTTGATTTTGAATTGCCATGTAAGTTGAATATCATAAGGACAGAATGTACAAAGCTGATTAACTTCAAAAGCTGTTTCTAATTTTATGAATTCACTAAAAATAACAAATCAGTACAAAAACCTAATATAAGCTTTTCATTTTTACCTGCTTGTCTTGTAACTCATTTGTGTATTAACCGTTTCTTCAAATTGAGCCAAAGCTTTTGCCATGGTATTCTTCTAATTAATGCAATTACGGCTGTATTTATTTTGGCCATAAATCTGTGTCCGAATTTTGAGAACTTAATTTTGAATTATCTCAAATAGGCACTCATGTAGTATCCATTATGTGGGCAAATCATTTTATGAGCATATAGCAGCTAGAAGTCAAGATGACCATAAACAAAAGGAACAAGACACGCTGTGATGAACAAAATCAGGCAATTCTTACAAAACTTTGCTGCCCCTGGTTAAAGTCATGCAACTAACTGCTCAAGCAAAGGAGTAATTGCTGCCTTTGCACACGGTGAATTCAAATGCCACATAAAAGTCACATACAAGCTCAATAACAGAGATCTAAGGATTTGAACCTTCTGTATTATTGCTATCTAAGCAGAAACATCTACAAAAAAATTATTTAAGGAACCATATAAAATCTATGCTACAAATTACAATGTTTCATACTTCTTAAAATTCAGATTTGTTTCCAACTCACACTACTGCGAGATTAAGACTAGCTCTGTGCTAGTAAATGTGCTTTTACACATGCAAGATTAATGTAATAAACTGAAAATTATCATGTCAAATATACAATGTAAACAAAAACTATATATAAATTGATGCACAATCATGATTACTAAACATCTTAAAAGATACAAATTTAAGTCTAATAGTATAAACTTGCTGTATTCTTTTACAATTAAAATTTAAAAATATTACACAGTAAAAAAAAAGCTTTAAATGAAACGAATTGCCAAAATGAGTTTTAGAAACCAACTTTATTATATTTTTAACCAGTAAAAGTGATGGAAAAAGCTTAAGTTAATCCATCAAATCAAATTATTTCATGGACTTTAAAAAGGTTAATTGTATTACACTCTTGGTTTCACTCAGAACCACTCTAAGCTACTTATACTGCCCACCACGAAAATTAATTGTTGAGCATTTCAATCATGCTAAGAGCCACTCAACAATAACATATGGTAAATCTACATTCTTATTCTTTAAGTTACGTCACATTCTGAAATGTGAATGATAGCATGAATAATTCCCAACAATTTAGTCTAGAATATCCTGGTTGTGAAAGAAAATTTGGCATCAACATTATTCATGCCTGTTTTCCCATCATTTCAAAAGTTAATGTTAACCTCTGCCTGTGTGCACAGCTTTTAAAACGCAGTGCAGGAAGCGGCCACTATAAATGGGAGACAGACAAATGCTCGGACAGACACCATGGTTCACAATATATATAAAATTGATATTTTCTCTAAACTACTTTTAAGAAAATAATTACCACTATGGACAGTCTGAATGTGCCACTTTAGAATGTTGTTATCAGTGTAGGCCTTTCCACAATCTACACATTTAAAAGTCCGAACTCGAAGTTTCATTTGGTATTCCAGGTTCTGAGTGTTACCTGTTTCTACAGGACTGTTGAGACTTTCACTAAAATGTTGTTTTTTGAGCTTGTGCTGCTGCAAGTGCCTCTGGAATGCAAATTTACTTGTCGTGCTATATAACTTGCCACATTCTTCACATTCGAGATCTATTGGAAAACCAAAAATAAGGAATTAGAAGTAGTATGAATACTTTATCATTTAGAATATTCACCAAGTCGGAAGAAAGACATTTTTCACTGCACTAAAATTGCTAAATAAGTTTAGATATACACAAATAAATCTTTAAATTGCTAAATAAGTTTAGATATAAATGAATAAATAATTAAATCTATCAAAAC